TAAATATAGTTATTTAATTCAATTGCAGATTTTCCCGTCGATTGATTGGACCTAAGTGCTAGGGTTTCAGGTTGACGAGTTCCGAATAGGACGAAACGCGCATCCTGGATTCCACTGCTAGTCACCATTCATCAGTTAACTACCTAAATATATAGTTTACCTTTATTGCATGAGTGTTTCAAATAAATTCTTTCTTTCCACCTAGCTGAAATTTTGTATTAACTATGCTTTTGTAGCTTGTACTTACCAAATCACAGCCTTGAACATTAAACTGTACAACTTAATATTCAAATGCTTTCACAAGAAAACTATAAATAAAACACTGAAATAGCATACGGGTTGACATTTATAAAATTATATTTGCAAATGTCTACTTCTTACTCAGCGCTCAATTATTTTGCAAATATCCGGTCAAACCTTGATCACAGTTCATATGAATAGCATACAGGATGTTTTATTTTTAAAAAACTGCTGAAAAAATTGGATTATCTTTTACTTTTAGTTATTTTAAGATGAATATGTTTATGAAGAAATGATCTTGTCTGGTAGATTTATCAATATTCATGCTCAAATTTCTCGATAGTCATTATTGTAGAAACTGTCAGAGTTAGACGGTTTAGAAAACAGTTCAAATAACTTCCCAGTATTTATAGCAAATGAAAGTCAAAATCATATGGCGATCAGAAATGAAGCCTTCTTCAATTAATCTACCGGCATATCATTTTTCTATGCTTGATCAATAGGTTTCTGTTGTATTGCAATCCTAGGTGTCCTCTAGTCACGAGATAATAGTATACATATACTATGGCATGGCAAATTTTTCACTTAAATACACTGACACTTCTGTGACAGTAGATGAGGTTGACGATATGCAGAACATCTTTCCCTTATTATCGACCATTGTCAAAAGCTGACGATTTGAATGCACTTAAGGTACTCACAGCCAAAATGGCCGCAGGACAAGATAGAATTCCTGCTGAAGCACTGAAAACTGATCCAGAGACTGCAGAGGATGTTCTCACATCACTGTTGCAAAAGGTTAGGAAAGAAGGAAATGTAAGTACTAATAAGAAAAAAGACTGCTTTATCAGACTACCAAAGAAGGGTTAATTAAGCATTTAAGGAAACTGGTGCGGCGTCATGCTGCTGTCCATGCAAAGCAAAATATCAAGTCATGTCATCCTGCAGACACCAAAGGACTCTCTGGATGGTGAACTCTGCCCGTAATAAACTGTCTCTACGTTCACCTACCTAGGCAGTATGTTTTCAACCACAGGTAGCGCGATGAGGATGTCAAATATGGAACTGAAAAGCCAAGACAGATGTTCTTCTCTCCGATTTCAGTATGGAAATCTTTTGAACTCAGCATGGAGAACAAGCTTCAGATTTTAGTGCATACCAATTAACACGTCAACCAAAGCATCTCAAACAGGTAGCAGACGTCTGTCAACAACTGCTTTCTCTTGCCCCTTGCTGCTGAGAAGATCGCCTACCAAAAAGAATGAGCAGCAAGGAACTCTTGAAACGAACCAACCAAATACATACTGGAGATAGAGATGGATCGGACACACACTTAGGAGACCATCGAATGACACCGCGCGCCAGACCATCACTCGAGTTTAACCCGAACGGGAAACGATGAGTGAGGGGTCCGAGGGTGATATTAAGGAGATCGTGCAAAGAGGAGATGAGAGACTGCGGGCAATCGTGAGCCAGCTGAGAAGGGACGGAGAGAATAGAACAAAGTGTGGATGTACTGTCGAAGAACTATGTTCCTTTCAGAACCCAAGATAATAATAATATAACTCTGTCAGTGGTAGGCTTTCATTCAGCAGTATCGAAATCACTGCATTCTGACAACTAAACTTGAGTTACGCTTATAACTTGACGCATTAGTTTCTTAGATTAACTAATGTAAGAATAATAGTGATGACTTTTCAGTAATGTATGAAATACAAAAACAAACATGGTGTACAGATAACTGTAACCATGCCATGTTTCTCAAGGAATGTTAAGGCAGGTATGAAATAATTCTCAGATATCTTCAACTCAGTGCAGAATTTCTAACTACATTAAGATATACATTAGGAAATTTAAGGTTATGCCAGAATTTATGAAAACCATCTTAATTAACATTTTTAAAATTTTATTCTTCGCTTCAATTAAAACTCAGAATTTTCACCTTTTGATTGCAAAATTTACTCAAATAACTTTGCATTTGCTTTGCATTTTATGCTACCCACTGCAACCGGAACTAACATTTACTTCATTTATCTTACTGTTTTTGTACTTCTCTGTCAATTCTCATTCTATTGTTTACCGAACCCACATAAGTTTTTCATTGTAATAGAAAAATTGAATATTTGATAACACGCAATTTCAGCTTATTGTAAATATTTGTTCTACATAAAAACTCATTTGTAATTTAAGAAAAATGTAAATACACAATGCACAGTAATGTATATATATATATATATATATAGCTTGTTTGACACTGAATTTTTGGACTACAAATATATACACTACTTCTAAAATTATGAGGATACTGTTTAAACATTAGGAACATAGTCCACTACAGTATTAGGTATTAAGTGTTGTCTCATTACTGTCGAACACTATCATGATGTTCTAAAGTCGCAGCTATTTATCCAAAGATCTATAATAGTTGGAGGGATATGATAGTGCTGATGTTTCATAGGTAGCTTGCAGTACAACTTAGCATTCTTAGTTACTTCTTGGTACCTTTGTGAGCCGTTTGGAGAACCGAAAAACTCAATATTTCAATCAAAATAATTAAAAAAATGGCTTCAATGGGTAATCTATTCTTTAGACAGCATGTTTACCAATCTGTTCTGCTAAACTATACTGTTTATATAGAGTTTAATATGAAGAAACCACAAAGATTTAGATCCTTATTTCATTCACGTGTTACTCAAGGTCTAAATGATTAGAAACTAGTTAGATGAGCTATTATAACAACAGGATGGGACCTCAAGCGAACATAGAGAAAACAGAGATGGTGAAGATTCCTGACCAACAGTAATAGCCACAACAACAAACAACAATCAGCCAGCATAAATGGAAGAAATCTGAAAGAAGCAAGCTTCTTCACCAACCCCACCTTGAAAGCACCATTTCAACTATAGACGGACGGAACTGATGAGGCTACCAAAGTGAGGATCGGGAAAGAAACGTAAGCTATCATTTCCCTCAAGTGTGTGTGGAGGTCAACAGCACTCAGCATGAAAAATAAGATACAGGATTTTTAACTCCAATGTGAAGTCAATGCTACTTACTTTGCGGATCAAAGACTTGGCGCATCACGAAGGGTGCTTCGAACAAACTACAGACTTTCATGGACTGCTGTCTTCGTTTAATGCTCAAGATCAGATTGCCGGTCAGGAAAGATCAGGAACAGGGATGGATATCTGGCAAAGAGCGAACCAACCCGGCAGGAACCAACTTTGCAAACAATCTGTAGGAAGAAATGGAGGTGGATTGACCATACTCTGAGGAAACCATCAAGTGGGCAGCATCACACGCCGGGCTGTTGAGTGGAACCCGAGTGGAAAGCGGTGTGTTGGTCGTCAGTGCAAAGGCGATATGGAGGTCATGTGAAGAGGAGATGAAAGCATCTGGGCAGATGTGAAGCTAAGTGAAAACGTTGACAATCGAGACGTGCGGCTGAAGCCCAATGTTACTCTTGGAACTAATGGAAACAATAATAATTAGAAGAGCTATTATAACAACAGATTATCTCCTCTAGCACTGAAGCACTTATGCAAAATTACCCAATTGTTGTCATTAATGAACCAAAAATATTTCACTGGGAAGAGATTGGACACCAGCTGATTGTTGATGGGTAAAAGCTTGACCTTACGAATATCTAGTAGTAGTATCAAATATCGTAAAAACTATCAGAAAATGTTATTTTTTAAAACATATCATTGACTGACTCCTATTTATCTGACTTTTTCAGATATTAGAAACCTTAAAACTAATTAGGGTGGTAAATCTAATCTATATCACAAACAGTAGTAGATCTACACCGCGAGAAATTGTGGTAATTACTTATCAAGGCAGTTCGATACCTTAAATATATTATCAAAGCTTATAGTGATCACAGTTTGGGACATAAAGCGAAATGGACGGCTAGATCAGAATGTTCTAAAAGTAAAGACAGAAGGTTCTTAGGCAAAATGACAACTTTCAATTGCAGCAATGAATTTCACAAGTGGTAGATTACTAATACCATGCGAACATTTCAACAAGACTATCGCATAATGCAGCAGCGTTAGCTTGAATAACTCATGTCATTCTAAGGGTATTCACACTACTAAAACGAAGTACAGGTTGCCTGTATTACAAAGCATGCTAATTTATTAGGTTAAGTAAAGTTAACAGTAAAAAATTTCCAATTTTAAATAAAGTCTATTATTTGCCATTCACTCAGTGGCTTTTGATTTATGGAAACAACTTGAAACAGTTTTGAATCTGAAGTAACAAATATGATCAGTCTTTGAGGAATTGGTTTTCTTAGGAAGGAGACAAACTGGACTGCTAAATCTTATTGTAAGACAAGTACCAAGCTCACAGGATATCATTTATTATTATCATTACTGTTCCCGTGGATTCCTAGTGGAACATAGGGCTTCAACTACACGCCTCCACCTGCTTCTGTCTTCTGCTATACTTTTCACTTGCATCCATGTTAATCCATATTGTTTCAACTCTTCTTCACACGATCTCCTCCGTGTCCAATCCATCTCCACTTTCTCCTGAATATTTGTTGAGAAATTGGTTCTTGTTTTGTTTGGCGATTCTTTCCGGCCATCTAATCTTCAGTATAGAACGAAGATAGTTGCTGATAAAGGAAATATTCTTGGTGACCCGCCGAGTTTCTGATCCGTAAAGCAAAATTGACTTCACGTTTGTATTGAAAATCCGAATTTTGTTGTTGATGCTGAGTGAAGTGACGAAGATTTCCAGATTGGTTTCAGGTTGATGAATGTGTTTCTCGCCTTCCCGATCCTCGATTTGACATCCTCGTCAGTTCCTCCTGTAGTTGAGACATTGCTCCCTAAATAAGTGAATGAAGTACCCTCTTTCAAATCCCTCCCGTTGATGGTGATTGGCATTGGATGTTGCTGCTGTTGTTGTTGTTTGGTTGGTTATTTTCATAACCTCCGTCTTGTCTATGTTCATCTGGAGTCCTTCCTTCACCGGCTGCTTCTTCGACCAGTTTGTCGGTTTTTGCATGTAAGTCTTCGATTTTGTGTGACATCAAACATAAATCATCCGCAAAATCCAGGTCTTCTAGGTTCTTCACGTCGGTCCAGGATATCCCTGTCTTCTCGTTTCCCACTGTCTGACGCATAATTCAGTCCACCACAATTAGGAATATCATTGGTGATAATAAGCACCCTTGTCTGACTCCTGTGTTTACTCCAAACGCTTCGCTGAGTTTTCCGTTGTGGATCACTTGACATGTGCCGTTGTCATACAGTTGTTGAATAAGGTTGATGAATATTTGGGGTACGCCGTAGTACTTGAGTAGTTTCCAGATTACTTCGCGGTCAACGCTGTCTAAGGCCTTCTCAAAGTCTATAAAGTTGAGGTAGAGGTTTGATTGCCATTCCATACTTTGTTCGATGATGATGCGTAGAGTTGCAATTTGGTCAGAACATGATTTGCCTTTCCTGAATCCAGCTTGTTCTGGTCGGAGTTCTGTATCCAGTGCATCCTATATTCTCTCCAGGATGATGCGACTCATGATTTTACTTGGCGTCGACAGGAGCATGATTCCTCGCCAGTTCTTGCAGAGTCCTAGGTCGCCCCTCTTTGGTAGTTTCACTAGGTAACCTTTCCTCCAGTCAGTAGGCACCTTTCCCTCCTTCCAGACGTTTTGCAATAATGGAGTCAGCATATCTGCTGTCGTCTCTGGGTCCGCTTTCAGTGCTTCCAGGGGTATTCCATCTGGTCCAGCTGCTTTTCCAGCTTTAAGAAGCTTGATTGCATTCAAGACTTCAGTTTTCGTTGGAGGATTGGTGTCAACTTTCAGTTGTGTACGTGCTGTTGTTGGTAATTCTGGACGGGTTGTAGGTGGTGGTCGGTTCAAGAATCCTTTGAAGTGGTCCGCCCATTGTTTAATCTGTCTTTCTCCCTTGGTAATTGCGTTCCCTTGGCTGTCTTTTATAGGTTTCACTTGTGTTGTTCTCTTCCTGGATAGAGACTTGGTTATCTGATATAGTGTCCTCAGGTCCCTTTTGCCTGCTGCCTTCTCAGCTTCAGTAGCCAGGTTGTCGTAGAACTGTCTTTTGTCCTTCCTGGCACTCTTCTTCACTTCTTTGTCCAGTGCTGTGTAAGTTGAGTTCAGCGTCTCTTTCTCTTGTCCATCTTTGCATTGAATCATTTTTTCTTTCACCTTTCTCCTCTCCTCTATTAGCTTCCAAGTGACCATTGAGAGCCATTCCTTGTCTTGTCTCTTCTTTCTTCCTAAAACCGTTGAACACGTTTCGTTGAAAATCATATCATTTAGATATTTAAAATGTCGATTTTATGACTAAAAGAATGATGAATTACATACATTATAGCGAAAGTTATTTGCAGAAGGTTCAGCAATAAATATCAGTTGGGACATGCATTGTGTTCTATTTCATTCTCTTAATGAGTGTGTATTTATTGTTAACTAAGTAACTTCTTTTATCTAGGAGACACTGTTTCAACCAGAGGCGGTGAAACATGAAGATATCAAAGCAGGGCAGAATCGGAAAGGCAAAGGCTCTTTCATCAACCTGAAACCAATTTGGAAATCTTTTGAACTCAGTCAGAATAAAAAACAAGACTCGGATGTTTAACAGCACTGTTAAGTCGGTCCTTCTATACGGGTCAAAAACTTGCACTGCGTGTCACGAAAAGCATTTCCAACAGGATGCAGACTTTCATTAACAGCTTCCATCGTTCTATACTGAAGATCAAATCGCTAGAAAGAATAAGCAACAAGAAACTGTGGTAGCAAACCAACCAAGAATCGATCGCTTGACAAATATGTAGGAGAAAATGGAGATGGGTCGGGCATACATTGAGGAGACTGTTGAATAACATCGCGCGCAGTGCAGGCTATCTCTTGAGAGGAATTCGGATGGGAAGTGAAAAATGGGTCGTCGGTACGAGGTTGACATGGAGGAGATCGTGTAAGGAGGATATAAGAGATTGTGGGCAACCGTGGTCCAAGCTGTAAAGGACGGCAGAAGATAGGACAAAGTGGAGATGTGTTGATGAAGCCCTATGTTCAAGTCGGAGCTTAAGGTAATAATAATAATAAAAATAATATAACTTAAGAAGGGATTTGAAGAATAAAGATTTTTCTCATGCGTATAGTCCGTTCCTTAAGAGGGCATTACTCAATAAAAGTAGCTCTTGCATATTGTTCGTATCAGACAGACAACAGATATACATATATATGTTAAACACAGCAGGTCATAAAGTTAATAATGGGAGGTTTACATAATTTTGACTTCATTATAAAGAAATTTTCAAAATAACTTTCACTCTGTACTATTTTCAGTCAAATCAATTATCCTAGAGAAATCTATTGTTTCTCCTTGTAACTTATGTTAAACAACAATATCAGACATTTTTATTTTTTATTTTCGAACATGAAATATGTCAACGCTGTCGTTCAAAAATAGTAAACAGAGTTGATTACCTATGATTTGTTTATCTGAAAAACGTGAGATAATATCTGGTCATCCACGTGTATGTCATTTATCCTATTTACAATAAAAATTTTCCATTCATTTGCATCCCGCATGATATATAGGGCTCCAAAATTGAGCTTTGAAGTTCCAGTGACGGTGATATATTTTTACGGGGTGTAGTTGCTAGTCCCACGCCCAACCATCCTTCCTTATGGGGTTTACCAGCGATTAGGCGATGACTGGGAGTTGGCCAACCGGGATTCGAACCTCACACCAAGTGTGTGGTTGACGAGTATTCTACCAGTGAACCATCGATGCTCAAGTGCTTAGCTTGAGGCCTTGCTGAGACACGAATGAACCGCAACCGAAACACTTAAGTAGGATTGATGGAAGAAATCTGAGTATCTTCAGTCTCTCAACCTTTTTGCTTGCAATTTTCAAATTGAACAGAGCAGGAATGTAAAAATTTAGCAGGGCTACGTAAGCACATCTTTTATTGTTATGAGCATTATTCTGAACTGGCTACAACCTTCCCTTTCTTGCTATTTTATAAAAACATTTTCTGAAGTTACGTAATCTATTATATATTTTTATACTGTTTATATTTAAACTTTGTTCCTGCTCAATAACATTTTGAACTCTATTCTCAATAGTACTGGCCTAATTATCCTCTATATGGTCAATCCATTTAACGCCTGATAGTGAAAAAACTTACACCATATTGAACTTAAGCTACTTTTAGTTCCTATCAAATACTCTTTGTCAGTATGCAGAAAGTGTATTCAAATTTTAAATGTGATTAATACTTTTCATATTGTTCAGATTGCAGCTAGCTAAGAATCCTTGGAATAATAGAAGATGAGCTCATATTATCCCGGTACATTTGTCGTTCTTGCTTTGCTCAAGTATAATAGTGGGAAGAAAGATATGAAATCAACAGGTATTTTGCCTAGCCTTATCCAATATTCGCTTGTAATATTATCCCCCTTTGACTACTAGAGTACACAAACAAAAGCCAACAATAATTGATCGCCCAATCTATAACAAAAGAATCAAAAACTAATGTTCAATTACACAACAGTAAATATTCATTAAGCATACATAAAATCTCTGATTGAAGCACTGGGTGACGTAGATTCGAATCTCAGATGGGACATGAGTTTTTTCAAGGTTGCAGATACGCCTTGCTGACTGGTGAGTGCCAACTAGCACCAAACCTAGGTGCAAAGCTTTCTGTGGCCGATTGTCTCCAACCATCGAATACCAACAATTCACAGTGAACCATGATGGCGAGCCACCTAGCATGGTGGCTGCATCGCAAATTTGACTGATACAATTCAGTCTACACCAAAGATAGGACTAAATACATTACGCTAGTTACTGACTAGTATTCAATCAAAAATAGATAGAATCTCCTTTTGTATAAATCGAATAGAGCTATATGAATTGGTTATGGAAACGTTTGGTTAGAGTAAATAGGCGGGTACGACAATACATTACACCATATAAGATTTTGAAGGTTTTCAACGAGCTTAGTGACATGTCAGTGTCCCGACTAACTAAGATTGTTGCTGAAAGACACGCTAATTAGTGCAAGCAGTTGATTAAATTTATCTTATGTAATAATGAACAGAGGTGATGAAGATCCCTGGGCAACACCGCCAACAGCAACAACAACAACAGACAACAATCAGCATAAATGGAAGGAACCAGAAAGAAACAACCTCCTTCACCTACCTGGGAAGCATCGTTTCAACTACAGGCGAACGGAACTGACGAGGATATCAAAGCAAGAATCGGAAAAGCAAGACAAGCTTTCATTACTCTCAAGTGTGTGTGGAGGTCAACAACACTCAGCATCAAAAATAAGATCCGGATTTTCAACTCCAATGTGAAGTCAGTCAGTGCTACTATACGGATCAGAGACTTGCACTGCGCGTCATGAAGAGCATCTCAAACAAACTACAGACCTTCATTAACAGTTGTCTTCGCTCAATACTCAAGATCAAATGGCCGGCCAGAAAAGATCAGCAACAAAGATCTCTGGCAGTGAGCGAACCAACCCAGCAGGAACCGATTGTGAAACAAATAGGCAGAAAGAAATGGAGATGGATTGTCCATACTCCAAGGAAACCATCAAGTGACATCACTAGACAAGCCATTGCTCGAGTGGAACCTGAAAGGGAAGCGGCGAGTTGGTCATCAGTGCAAGGGTGACTTGGAGGAGGTCATGTGAAGAGGAAATGAAAGCATTTGGGCAGACTTGGAAACAGGTGAAGACGTTGGCAGAGAACAGAACGCAATGGAGACGCACGGCTGAAGCCCTATGTTCCTCTAGGAAT